ACCTGCTGCGTGCCAGCACTGTTGGGAGTTGGGGGCACTGGGGTTGGATGCCACAGACACTTCATCTCCAGGCCATTGGTTCTAAGACAGACAGTTGAGGGGTTGGAGAGCTAGCTCAGTGGTTAAGAGTACTGGCTGCTCTTTCTGAGGCAGTTCAAGGGAACTGGACACCTTTTCCTGACCTCTGCACATGAGGTACAGACAAAACACCCATTCGTGTACAATTAATAATATATTTTTAATTACTAAAAAGATGGGCAATTGAGACAGGAAACCATAAGTAGGCCACTTGCAGAGGGCAGTGACGCAGGACAGTGGAAGGGGGCTTGGCGCAGAGCGTGGCCTTGGATGGGCACTGCCTGTGAGGTGGCAGTGGGGCATTGGCAGGGGCCTGAGGGTGGAGACAGGAGGCAGCCATCTTCCCCTTCCCTATGTGTTCTGGCTAGATAAGTTGTCTAGGACAAGCTCTGAAGTCAGGGTGGAAAATCTGGTGGTGACCTTCAGTGTGGCCAAGTGTCTGCTGCCTAAATGTTTGTGTGGCTTCTCCAGAGGTGCTTGAAGGCAGGTGTGGCACTTTGAGTTTATGCAGCCGTGGGGCTTTGTGTAGAGGGGGAGAGAATCCTCGGGCTAGAGGCCCAGTGGTTCAAGAAGTAAAAGCAATTCCCTGCATCTTCTCACAGCTCACCCTGGGGAAGGGGAGGACCCACAATGATCTAGAAGTAAGATTCCTAGTGGCCTGAGGACTAGTCAGAAACCTAAGGGCCAGGAGTCTAGCTTTCCCTTTGGTTTCTGGATGGGTCTCCACCACTTTCAGCTGCTTGAGGTGGAAGTGACGGTGGCTCCCTAAGCGCGCTGGGCTTTCGTATGAGTAATTTCAGCAGTCCCTTTTCATGCACAAGGGGTGTTCTAAGACTTTCTTTTTCCTGAAACCAAGCCAAGTGCAAGGTCGCAGATCCGCTGTGTACACAGCTGTGTCTCCATTTCCCCCACAGGTGTGCACTGGCTGCTCTCCTTGTGGCTGTCACAGAAATCCCCGACAAAAGCAGGGAAGGAAGGGTTGATCATAGCTCTCAGCTTAAGGCTATAGCTCATTGTGGTAGAGGCTCTAGCTACAATGACAGGCGCAACACGACTTGGAAGCAGAGACACAGAGAGAGAGAGAGGGAGGGAGGGAGGGAGGGAGGGAGGGAGGGAGGGAGGGAGGGAGGGAGGGAGGGAGGGAGGGGAGACAGACACACAGACATTGGTACTCAGCTGGCTTCCTCCCTTCTGTCTTTGGATTCAGTCCTGGACACCAGCCCATAGAATGTGTTGCCATATTCAGATTGGCTCTTCCCTGCTCAGTTAAATCTCTCTGGAAACACCTTCATAGTCACCTCCAGAGGTGTGTCTCCTAGGTGATGCCAAATCGAACAGCCAAGATTAATCATCATGGTGTGCAGACAGGCATACAGACTTGCCTGTAATAACAGTATAGCACGTAGCCACATTTCTCTGCGTATGAATGCCTATGATAAGACTTATAAATTAGGCATAGTATGTGATTAACACCAACTACTCATACTACAAGAGAACGACATTAAATACAAACTGAGCGATGGGATCTATCCCCTCCCAAAAAACGACTGGGCAGTACTCATCTTTCTTATAAGGGTGACTTGCAATGACCTACGGAATGAGATGAGGTGAGTGACACAGATGTTGTGACCCTGTGGGATTTGGCATGGGGCCCTGGACACAAGCACTGGAATTCCAAGGCAGTCTCTTTGAAACTCAGTGAGCTAAGTGGGTGGGCGTGGTACACACTGGACATGATTTGTGACACCTTGGGCAGGATGGAGCAAGGTGGCCTGGGGTTTCATCTTGGTGTTTGGGTGTTACGCAATGACTTATTTCCAGGATTTTTCCCCGTGATCTCTCCAGGCCAAGGCTGACCACAGGTAACAGACACGATGGAAGTGAAGTGGGTGGAGCGGGGAGGAGGGGAAATGAGCAGCAGAAAACTGAGACGCAGAAGAATATAAAGACAGAAACTCATAATGACAAATCAGACACAGGAGATGGCATTGGCGCTCGGTGTTTCCCACCGCAGCATTTCTGCCCCAGGACCACCCCTTCCATGTGGGGCTCATGCCTGCCTTTCCCAGTGGCCGATGGAGAAGGCACCTTGCCTTATCAGTAAGCACCATCAAAATCGTGCTTTCTACTCGGCTCCTAAATTGCACTATGGGAAGGTGAACTGCTTCCCTGTGTAGGGGCTAGGCCGACCCTTTTCATCCCAGACTCCTGCAGAACAAATATTGAAGCATAGACCTGTGGTCCGGGGGAACATTGCTGGCCCCCATTGCTCCTGGATGACTCTGACACCTGCCCCTGGTCTTAGGAGATTGCTTAAGAGAGAGCTGGGGAAGCACTGGAAACGGATGTGGCCCTGGGGGCCAAAGGCAGCACCACCTACAGAAACCTGGGACTAGAATCCTGTAGTCACCTTTTGTCATCACAGCCAGGCCATGGAACATGTGGAGGCTCGTCCCTAGGTTGCCAAGGCAATACACAGGCCCCTGCCTGTGAGGAAGGCTGTGGGGTTTGACAGGCATTCTTTTCTTGGCCAGCAGAAGGGTATTCATTTTCTTTGACCTGGTTTCCATGGCGTCAGGAATTGTTGCTGTTTGTTTAAAGGAAAAATGCACCGACTTGTGTCATGAGATGGCAAGGACATCGTTGGGTCAGCTAGTAAACATGGCTCATGCCATTGTCACACCACACACTCTCTAAAGACCCTGCACAGGGACCTCATGACAGCTAGGAGCCATGCAAAGATGTGTAACAGTGTGAGACAGAGCCAGGCTGTCATTGCCTCTGTGCTCTACAGAAGCCATAGAAAACACAGGAAAGGGGTAGGTATGGAGGAAACACACATTGCCCATGGTTCAAGGCTTAGATCAAGAAGTCTGGAGTCACCCAAGCCTCCTGGAAGCAGTTGGACCAAAGGTGTAATAGGGTTGCTGGACATAGCCTGGGCTTAGCACAACAGACATATCTCCTCAAAATCAGACATCCACACTGTGTTTCTGGGACAGCTCTTCAACCAGACACGGCATTGAGTGGGCATAGAATGTAGAAGGTACTGGATGGGCACACTTAAAGCAGAAGCCAGGGCAGAGCTGGAAGGGTGACAGAGAGGCTGGGATCACGGTGAGACCAAAGGGGCTTGGGAAGGGGCACAGCCCTGAGGATGTCTATTCCCTGCTCCTGCCAGGCTCCATGCCCCCTTGCTCAGGCTCCTCCACTTGTAGAGAGTGCCCAGGAGCTGGGCACTGGGCCACTGGAGTGTCCATGGGGGTAGGGTGTCTCGGGACTGCTCTGTTATGCCCACTCCATCTCCCACCCCTTTTCTGTGACAGGCCTGCTGTATAACCCTGTCCACTTGGACCTCAACTTTATCCATGGTAGTCCTCCAAGGTCACTTAGCGTCCCTTAGGACTGGATGCTCTCCCAGCCCTGCCCCCAAAACTAAGAAAGGAGAGCAAGCTGAGCAAAGAGAAGTCCCTAGCCTCTCAAAGGCTTGCTCCTGTGTGAGACCCCTTGAGAAGCAGGCTGGCGAAGGGTGGGGTAGGGTCCCTTGGCAGTTCCTGTGATGCCAAGGGGTGGACGGGTCAGTTTTGCTTCTTGGTCCTCTGGGAGGCTGGGCCCCCTCATCACTTGCTGACCGTGGGTCCAGAGGGAGGGAAAGTGTGTGGCTGAAACATTAACAACTTCCACTCCCTCAGCCAGCTTTTCTTTGGAAGAGCACAGGACCAGGCAGGATAGTGGGCTGAACCCGCGTGGACCCCAGTGGCTCATTCTGCCATATTCTCCACGCTGCGAGGAGCAGCGGGGGGGGGAGAGGAGGAGGCTGGGGAGGTGGTCAGGAGATCTCTGAGCAGGGACAGGGAAGCCATAGGTGTTCTGGGGGGTCTGAGAGTCCCCTCCCCCAACAACTGCTTTACATTCATCCCCTTTAAAGACTGAGCTTCACACCACGAGGACGAGGACAACTGTTGGCATAGCAAGTTGGGTCACATGACTGTGCCTTAGTTGATGGCAGCTATGAGAGCCTGGTTGGTCACATCGCCCCCAGTAAATTCACACAGCGTTAGGGTGGGAGCTTTGGGCCCCTGCAGCCTTATGCAGCTCTATGTGGGGGCTAGGCCATAGGCAGCCAGGCCAGGCCACTGGAGACAGTGGGGCACCAAGAACCAGAACTACAAGAGGACCTGACAGCACGTAGGACGTCTATGGGTGTGGCCTGCAGTGAGAGGCCAGCATCTACTGCCTCAGGGCAGAGATGGTCCTGGGGGTCTGAGGCACCTGGCAGAGCTGGTCAGCCCAGAGGCAGAGCTGCCCCCTTCCTTCCAGATAGGTTCCAAGACTTTGTCAGGCCCTATCCACCCACTCATGCTGGCAGTGAGGGTAGGGACAGTGAGTCAGCAGGGCGGCCCTGCCCACAGCAGGTGACCCGGTCACAACTGCCACAGCCTCCGTCACGGGGAACCTCAGAAAGAGGAGAGCCATCTGCATTGAGGGGGTCAGGACGATCTCAGGGAGCCTGTCATTCAACTCTATGGGAGGGATGGGGGAGGTGTCAGAGGGCTGGTGACATTTCCCTGGACTGTGGTGCTGATCCTTCTCCAGAAAGGGACTATAACCAATCTGAGCTTCTCTCCAGTTGCTGACGGCTACGTGGCCTGGGACAATCCACTCCACACTGTCAGGTCTAGGCGCTGTCCTGTGTAACCGCCCCTTCTGGAGCACTCACAGACTATGCGGTGATAAGGGAGAGATAAAGCTCAATGGCCAGGCCAGGCTGGGGGTGGGAGCTCGGAGAGGACCATGGAGAGAAGGCACAACTCCCAGAGCCCGGGGTGCAGCCACACCCCAGAGGGTTCACAAAGTCTCCACTATTTGCTTTGCTTCCCAGATGTCACTTAGGAACACCAGACCCATAACGAGACCTTTGCTACCAAATTTAAATTGCTTTATGACTTCAAATGCACAGGGAGTTTGCCAGGCTTGGGGTAGGCAGGGTCAGCACGGATTAGTATCTTCCATATCAGTTTCAAAGATCAGCACGCATTCTCCAGTGTGGAGAAGCGAAACTTCCCCAGTAATGGAATGGGGTCTGTACCCTGGGTGTGTTGATATGGCAGCACCTGCAGTCCCAACCCCCCTGAGGCAGGGGGCTTGCTTGAGCCCACAAACGCACAGCCAGCCTGAAGAAGAGAGGGAAACTCCACCCTGAAAGAGAAGTCGAATATACAATTAGGAGAAACATATGTGAGAAACAATAAACAGTAAGGGCAAGCCATATTTTACTGTCGATGTCCAGGTGTGGTGAACATGATGCCTTTTATATTATACAAACACAGATCTTTTAGAACTTTCAACAAGAAATTTAGATTGTGCCTCATGTGAAGAATTTAAAGTTTTTAATTGCATCTTGATTAATTTCTGTGTATTTGTGTGAGTGTGAGAGCCCACATGTGGGGAGCAGGGGACTTGTATGCCACAGCTAGCATGTGGAAGTCAGAGGACAACTTGTGGGAGAGATGGTTCTCTCCTTCCACTATTCGGGTCCCGGGGACTGAACTCAGGTTGTCGGGCGTGACCGCGAGCGTCTTTACCCACTGAGCCAGCGCTCTGCCCCACGCGTGGTTTTACTTCTGTCTCTGTCTTTAGAAGGACAATTCCTCACGGCGCATGCCGAACGCATTGTGTTTAGTATCTAATGCTTCACTGTGCCTGCTGCATTTAGACCCGTGTCTCGTGCACAGCTTCTGTGACAGTGCCACGGCGTCCTTTTCAGCGTGCCGAACTCCTGCCTGACTTCTGCCTTTGGATGAGGTCGCCTCGCAGCCAGCCACTCTCTGGACCGTATGCTGTGCCAGCGTGTAAGAACTGTGGTTCAAAGGAGACACTGTAAGCTTCAGATGTTAAAATGGTGTCTGCACTCACTTCATGGGGCTGAGATAAAGTATCACCCGTATCACTGAACTTTGTTTCCTCGGGATGCCGAGCGAGTACGGGACAGCAATGCACCCGTACAGCGCAGCCCCCCTAAACTCCAGGGCAGGTCCAGGCTGGGTCTGGAGTCCTCAGAAGGACCTGTCCCGTGCTCCCTCAGATCCCTCCCTCACCCCTGTCCCACAGAGGCTTCTCTGCCCTGCTGGCCTCTTTCTTCTCATGAGGACCCTGGTCAGTTTGGATTTAGGACACCCCACTGTTCCAGGACGACACCATCTTCATCGAGAACACTGCAACGGCTCTGTTTTCACACCAGCGACTTAACCACATCTTTGGGGAGATGCAGTTTGGCCTGAATGGCACCCATTTGAACTTCCTGGTGACCAACCGTGGGAGTTTACGCCACTGGCTGAGAGTTCACACTGATGACTGGGGTTCACACCAGTGGCCTCGTGTTAATCTGAAGGATCATTTCTCGTTTTCTGCCCAGGTTTCTCTTTCTGGATCTCATCCAAGGCCTCTCGCTGAAATGCAGCTCAACCTGTTTAACCTAAAAATGAGAACTGGTGGTTTTAACACAGGCAGGTGCAAAGGGTGAGACAGACTGAGCAGCATGGGTCCTTACACCATGCTGTCCTGGGGTCCTTACGCCATGCTGTCCTGGGGTCCTTATGCCATGCTGTCCTGGGTCCTTACGCCATGCTGTCCTGGGTCCTTACGCCATGCTGTCCTGGGGTCCTTACGCCATGCTGTCCTGGGGTCCTTACGCCATGCTGTCCTGGGTCCTTACGCCATGCTGTCCCGCTCGCCTCCTCCTTTCCCCCAGTGTCTCAGCTCGGCTCCCCGGTGTGGGCTTTGCTCCCACTCCCCTTACCTTGGTAGGAAAGTTCATACTCGTACTGGGTTTCCCCACAATGCCTGTGTAGAAACTTTATCCCAAAGCTGAGTGTGAGGAAGTGTCCCTAATGGGCTCTCCCACACAGATGGATCAAGGTTATTAGCAAGAGGGGGTCCCTTGGGAGATGACGGCTTTACTGTCCTGTCTTGCTCTCTGTCTGCCACCATGGGTGACAGAGGCAGGCCCTCACCGGGTGTCCCTGCCTTGGGCTTCCCAGCCTCCTGCCCAGTAAGAGGATGTGTCTGCTCCCTGGAGACCTGCTTGGCGCTTCTGGGGGAGGGGTCTGTTGCAGCAGTGTATAGTGGGTTCAGAGGAGCACCACCAGCTTCCAGGCTTATGAGCCCCAGCGAGATGTCTACTCCCGTAGCTCTGGTTTGTCTCAGGGATGCCTTTTGTCAGCCAGGGAAAGTTGTACTTGAACTCTGGGAGTGGCATATAGGTTAGTCAGCCATACCCCAGAAACACAGTGGAAAAGAGCTAACTCCTGGAGGTTATTACCAAACAAAGGAGCCAGACTTTTTTGGTTGACCCAAATCAAGAGATGCCCCAAAGCAAATAAATGATTCTTCTTATTTATTCTGAGAGCTCTTTCTATATTAAAGGGATTGTTGTTTTTTTTACATCTTTCTTATGTATTTTTTTCTTAGTCTGTCTTGGTGGGTTTTGTTCCTCTGAGGCCAGAGGCTGCCTTTGCGTCTCAATGTGACCATGGTACCCTTGCTTGGAAGCTTGTCACCAGGCCACGTTCCCAGGGTATCAACAACACCACGGAAGGGAAGAGAATACACAGCCAGTGGTCAGCAAGTGGTTGGCACTGAGAAGCTTATCGTCATTCCCACAGACGTCACAGGTGAGCGTTGAGCCAAGAAGCCATGGCTGTCCCTGACGAAGGTCAGTGAGGGTGGTAAAAGCCTCTGTCTGTGCAGAAAGAGCAGACACCAAGGGCCGCTCCACCCGGTACACAAGTCCTCACTCAATCTTGAAAAGTGATAAGAAATGTGACTTTGATCTGGTGAGCCTTTTGATCAAGCTGTGAATTAAAGGCAAATAGGTGGTGCACCTCTCCCAGAGGCTGGCACTGCCCTGCGTGGGAGGAACCAGGCAGAGTCAGGGAAGGAGGAGAAGTCTGGATGGCATGGTGTACCCTCCAGCTGCAGATCTGGCCAGAATAGATTCTGAAGCATCTTTGTTGGCACCTGGCTTTTCCCTTTGTGTGATTTAAATTCAGGAGTCACAGGAGGGGAGGAGGAGGCAGAGGAGGAGATGGAGGAGACAGCAGATGGCTGTGCTGATGAAGGGCTTGCTCCTCACTGTATAGCTTCCCTTGGCTGGGGGAGCAACAGGGAAGTATCCCCAGGGAAAGTGGCCCTATTCATGTTGGAACCATGTCCCCCAACCTGCAGGGAGACACCCCTGAGGGTCCAGCTGGCTCTGGCTATACGGGCTGGCCTGTCCACCCCACAGACACTACCCAGGAAGGAAAGGTGTCAGGGTGACTGGCAGCAGCCCCTGGGAGGTGACTTAGTCCTGAGTGGGGGCACATAGGACATGAACAACAGAGGGGGGTACAAGTTAGAGGGGCAGGCACTAGTGCAATCTGAGGGACTCAGTGCCTGGGTTTCCTGTGCTGAAGAAATAACGAAGGGAAGGAAGAAGCAAGATGAAGGGAGAGAAAGGAAGGCTAACCCAGGCATCTCTCAAATGTTAGTGACAAGGGCGTCTACTACAGTAAGCCCCATGTGCACAGCTGCACGCTGTGTCCATGGCTCACACGGGAACACAGGGAGCTGGAATCAGGAGGAGGAGGCTTCAAAGAGCTTCTTGACTAAGGTGAGCAACCTGCCCTTCCAGGGTGTGGGTTCCAGTGTCACCTCTGGGGGAGACTGGGACAATCTGGCTTTCCTTGTGGGCCCCATGCACAGCCGCACACTCCTAGGCGGGTGAGGCAAAGCACAGACACTCAGAAAGTGTTTGCCATTTTGTTCAGGGTGCTTTGGCAACATGCAGCCTCAATGTGCTCTCCTTCATTTTATTTGTGGTCTCTCAGCCCCCTGGGCTGATGTCCCCTGCTACTCTCTGCCCAGATAAGTCCACCCTATGTCCTGTAGGGGGAGGGACCCTGATGAGACAGCCCATGCCAAAGCCACCAAACCACAAATGCTTTGATGGAGTAATGGGAGAGAGAAAGAGACTCAGCTGGATGCCATGGGCTAGGGTGGAGGCTGGGACACTGGGGAGACAAGTCCCCAGCAGGATAAGCACAGTACTCTCAGTGGTCATGACTTCCCCAAGTACCTCCACCAGCACAAGAAGATGCCCTGTTCCCAGCAGCCTGCTCAAGGGAAGCCAGTGCTGGACGGGATGTGGAAGGCATCGCCAACTCTGGGAGACTCCTTTCATGGGGAAACCTTGGATCCTCGGTTCGAAAAAGCCAACAAGGTGCTTCGGGGTGGGGGTTGGGGATCTCTGAGGAGGTCGATCCACAATGACACCATTGTGGTCACCATTGTGCTTCAGTATCTGGAGTGCGGTTTAATGGGCTCCCAAGACCACTGTCTAATGGACGGTGAGTTAGTACATACTCACTGCACAGATGAACCTCTGTGCACGCTTGTGTATTTTTCTGCATGCACCCATGAAATGTGCATGCTCACGTGTGCACATGTGTACATTTACATGTACACAGGATCATGTATGTGCTTTGTGCTCCTAGGTCAGTGGTCATGAATGTGTGTTTGCCATGGGTATACCTGTACTTGCAAGGCACGAGGTCCACAGACGTGCACCTATGCATACAGTGAGCTCAGCGAGTCTGCCTGTGTGCTCGCATGCTCCATTTACGCTGGATAGAGCACCCAACTGCTGGGGCCGCCCGTGGAGAGGTCAGGGTGAGTCAGTTTAATTGGAAACCAGCAGGAAAGAGTGAGATCATCATGTTGGATGAGACAAAGCTGCATAGAGGGCGAGGGTCAGCACTGTGTACTTAAACTCCATATCAAAATACGATCCAGGAAAGTGACTGCAATGGAGAGTCCCATCCCCCAGGACACTAGAATAACGATAGCTCCAGAGAACTAGGTCAAATGTCCCTCCTCCTTGATGACCAGACCTCATGGCAAAGCATGACACTCTAGCTACTGTTTTGGCTGAGGGAGGGTGACTATGCTGACCTGACCAGAGAAACTTCTTTGCTTCCAGCCTGCCCCATGCTTTGTGGCCTGCCTTCTGCCCCCTATTGCCCCATCAGCCCTGGGCAAGTTTACTCAGCTCAGGCAGATCCAGAGCAGTGCAGAGGGGCCCGGTTGTTGTTAACGAGGTGAAGGAAAGTGGTTTCTATTTGATCTGGGCCCATACGTCTCTGCTTGACAGCAATCTGTACTCGGCCCGTCTGAGACTTCAAGAGCAAAAGTCAGCCAACAGGACTAGGAGCTGCTCATGGCTGCCTGGCATCACTGAGGGCTCTAATACAGAGCTCTGCTCTACCTTGGGCCCCAGAGGGCAGACACTGTTGCACACAAAAGTCAGCTGTTCTCGAAGTTTCTTTGTCCTTCCATCTCCATGGCCCCACTGGGGATCGATTGGATTCCTGGGATGGACTCCAAAAACAACTTCCTTTATTCCTGTCCAGGCTCAGGCCTGCCCTTTGAGGACCCATGCTAAGCCAAGTTCTGTGTGCACAAAGCAGGCAGCTCAGAGCAAATAGAAGGTTGCAGGGCCATACACCTGGTCTACTGGTTTCTGGTCTGCTTGAACCCCAAGGGCAGGGCAGGGAGCTGGGATGAGCAATGGCCTCCCCTCTGCCCTGTTGGCTCATCCAGACGGCAGAAGTCTAGCAGGAAGGGGCCGACCCAAAGCCCAGATGGGTGATGTGGGCAATGGAGGTAGACACAAAGAGACAGCCCACTCCTATGTCCGCTCAGCGCCCTCATCACAACAAGATGTCACTGTCAAAACCCGTTTGCTTCTTTTCCGGAGCGGAGCCCACTGACCCCACCTCAAGTTGGAAATGAGGTCAACTAGAATTAAGGTGTTTTATCAGTGCCAAAGCTGTGCAATTTACTAGACCTCACACTGGTAATGAAGCCATCCCTGGTTGATGAAAGTAAATTCTTTTCTGCATTTAGAGGCCTTGAGAGGGAGTTCAAGTTGTACTGCCCAGCCAAGCAGTGCATGCAGGGAAAATCCCATCAGCAGCTGCATCTCCTCCAGCGTGACCACTGGAGTTTCCTGGGGAACCCACCTGAGGAAGTCTGATCTGTTAAGATCTAAGTTGAAGCAACATGCCAGTTACTGAGAAGTTGCCAAGAAGAGTCCTTCCAGCCTCTTCTTACCGTCTCTTACCTTCTCTCCTGTATACCACAAGTCACTTCAGCTGGGGTCCAGGGCATATGGGCTCGAGATGGGGCGATTGTGACTTCTAAGAAACTCTACATCTCAAGGGGACACTCAGATGGCTTGGCCACTGGGTGCCTCAAGGGACCAGTGATGGCCTTGCATACAAAGTCACCAATTTCAGCCATGCCATGCTGTTGCCCGGTCCGCCATTGGTTATCACTGACTGCCGGGACCTTGCAGGGTACCCTGGGGTGGAAACACATTAGACAGAAATCAACGTGAACTCCACAGAAAGTGAGAGGACAGATGTCCCAGCGTCGTCAGGAGCCAGGCTCTGGGCACTTAGCATTACCTTACTGAGGTGGCAGATGAATTCCTAGGCTGCGGCACAAATGGCCACAAAGCCAGGCGGTGGGTAGGCCGGAAATCCCAGCCCCCGCGCCCACCCATGAGGGAACCCGTGGGACTTCAGAGGCCTTTGCCATGCAGACTATGAAGCCCACCTGTCTCAGCCCACTCCACCAGCGTGGGAGCGAGGGAAAGAACACTTTAGAGACTAGCACCACGGGAGTCTTGTGCAAATGTCTCGAGGCTGCAGACCGAGGCACACCGACTGAGGGCTCCAACCAGGTTCCCTGTCTCACGAACCCTGTGTCCGTAAGTCCCAGGCCACGCTTCACAGGGCTGGGTGCAGCCCTCCTTCACTTGCAGGTGCGGCCTTATCGGTCTTCCCTCTGTGTGTCGTGAGGACACAGTCCTGATGGCTCAGGTCCGAACGGATGGCTTTGTTTCACCTTAAGCACCCCTGGGAGGACTCCATCTCCGGAGGAGGCTGAATGCTTATGCTCCTGCATGGACTTGAACAGATGGACTTGTGTGGAATCACAAGCAACAGCCAGTGGACATTTACCCTTTTGTGGCTCCAGGGTCAGGATCCGTCCAGCTGTGGGTAAGAGTTAGCATTTCTACTGACCTGCGTAGGCCGATCAGGGACCACCTCGCTCCTCCTGTCCCCTCTGCTTTGCCCTTCAGGGTCCAGTTCCAGATGGGCAGTGTGGACTCTGGCTTTCAGGTCCGACGTGGCCTGGGCTTGCAGTGTACAGACAGTGGCCCTGAAGGTGGTTGTGAGAAGTTGGACATGATGGCAGGACTCAGCTTCCCCTGAACCCACCTGCTCTGATGACCTGGCGACACCAGCAGGGCTCTAACAAGGGTCACCCTGGGCCCGCCTGCTGCCGGGGCAGAGCCAACTGTGTGTGTTCAACGTCACATCAGATTAACATAAAGTACAGTTGGTGGCTCCTGCTGGCCAACAGAGACTTCATATCCCTTGCTCCTGTCTACAGTGATTAGCTTTCCTAAAAGAACATAAAAGAACAAACTCCATCAGGGCCAGTGTGGGAGGCACCACAGATGGGCAGGTACCAAATGGGCTCACAGAGCCCCCGGCCCAACAACAGAGACAGATGGGGATGCAGGCCAGACAGCTCTGTAAGAGCCCTGGGTTGTCGCCACAGGAAGTTGGATTATTGTCGCCACAGAAAGTTGGGTTATACTGAACTCTTTTATGAAAGCTGTTCTTTGCAAAATGGCTTGGGGTGGGGATCAATTTAAATGAGCCAGCATGTCTACAGAGGACAGCGCGAGGACTAGCCACATTGGGTCAGGGGTAGAAGAAAGTTATGGCTAGAGCTCAGAGAGGCAAAAAGGGCATTCCGTGAGACAGTCTGTCACCCTGGCCCTCACAGCAGCTTCCCGAGCCAGAGACTGGATGCCCTGGACTTCCCAGACTGCTCTCAAGGGGCCCTGCATGAAGGGTGTGAGGCAAGATAGGAGGGTGTGTTGCGTTTCCAGAAGGTTCTTTCTGAATACAAGGCCATGTGTGAACCTGGGGATTTCTCTAGCTTGTTTGACTTCCTCTGTTGAAATCTGCAGTTGGGGCCCTGTCTGCCAGATCTGCTGGAGTCCAGCTTTCCCAGTAAAACTAGGACCAGGCTGGTTCCTGGTCGATATGCACCCTGTTTCTGCTCCAGAGCTCTCATCTCCCTCCCGGCTCCCTGCTCCCTGCTCCCGGGAGCCTCTGGTGCTGCAGCACCCATGGCAGCTGGTGTTTACTCGCACCTCCTGCCCAGCCCCAGCTCTCCGTCTCCACAGCTCTCTCTGACGAACGCCTGCTGCCCTTTCTGCTTCGCAGGGGGAGGAAATGGAGGCTCAGAGAAGGAGGCGTCGTTAGGATCTGCACCCACGCCATTGCGCCTCGTCCCAAACTTCCGTTTGGCCATCTGTCTTCCAGAAACCCTCTGACAGCACATCCAGCAGATGCCTTGGGGTGTTCCTCATAGACCTATGTGGAAATCAAAATAGTGCTGGTGCCCCCAGAGAGAGGAACCTGAGGGAGATCCTCTGTTGTGTCCCTGGGGAAGCCTGTGGGACTCCAGGCTGGGCTGCGCATTGGCTGCTGATGCGTGGCTGACTTCCCCACATCTGAGGCAATACAGCCCCCTTTGACTCCAACCATGCCTAGTTCCGGAGAAAGAGAAGAGGGAGGGTGGTGGGTGAGCCATCTTTCAGGAGGAGGTCAGTGGAACCAGGGAGACACCTTAGCAACCCAGATGCTGTTCTGGGAGTGCCAGTAAGCACCGGGGACTGCCCTACACCACCCTTTGTGGATGGTCTGTACCATGCCCTCCAAACCCTCAGTGGGTCAGTCCTGAGACTCACTTCTTTCTCCCCATTCAGGATTCTCTGAAGACATTTTGAGGGTGGAAATTAGTCACACAGGCTCAAGGGTCACATGGAGCAACAGGTCCCTGGGGGATCAGGCCAGATGGGATGCCAGCACATGGGACAAGGGATGCTTATACAGGTGAAAGACTGTACAGCACTGTCTACTGGTCACACCCACTATGGCTATGTCAATCACCTGACTGTTGCCTCCCTTCCAAACTCTAGTCTCCCAGTCCTGGAGAGGAACAACTACATTGTAGGAGGAAGTCTGATGACACTACATTTTATCTTAATGCCTGGCATGGGCTTTGCTGTCCCTGGAGAGACAATCAGATGCAAGTTAAGTCAATTCTTAGAGACATCCAAGAGTTTCCTACAGGATGTCTTTCAAATACTACCTACCCTTGTCCAGTGGTGGTGCATGCCTTTAATCCCAGCACTTGGAAGGCAGAGGCAGGTGGATCTCACTACAAAGTGAGTTCCAGTACCGCCAGGGCTGTTACACAGAGAAACCCTGTCTCGAACAAACAATTACTACCTACCCAACCACAGTCCTTAGCCCCCAAGTTGCCTGGACCGCCATTCCTTGCACTTGTCACAACCCGTGACAGCTCTCAGTCCCATGCCAGGCTGGCCTGTCCTCGGCTGCTTGCTTGCCTGGCCTCACCAGTTCCCTCCCACAGAAACCACACTTGGCCCCTGCCCAACTTTCCCTGGCTCCCTCTGCTCCCTGGATGACTCCTGGCTATCCTGTGTGGCTTTCCTTGGGGATGGCTCCCCTTAGAGTCTAACATGTTCCTTCACTGGACATAGTCATGTTCCTGGTTTGCTGGCTTCACCACCCACTCCTCCATGATGATAAAGCTATGCTTTACCTGACCTGTGGCAAGCATGAGAGACTGAGACAGAGGACTATTTCAGGTCAGCCTGAGCTATGTAATGAGAGAGAGAGAGAGAGAGAGAGAGAGAGAGAGAGAGAGAGAGAGAGAGAGAGAGAGAGAGAGAGAGAGAGAGAGAGAGAGAATAAAAGCCAAGAAAATAGGGTCTAGGAACTTCTGCCCCAGAAGCAACCCAATGGCCATGTTTAGGAACAAAATCTTGTGGCCCAGGCGGACACAGGGTTCCTGCGGTTGGGCAAGCATCACCCCACAGGGATTCTACCCACCTTGTCCCCTGATCCCTGGCCCAGGCAGACACAGGGTTCCTGCGGCTGGGCAAGCATCACCCCACAGGGATTCTACCCACCTTGTCCCCCACCTTCTCATGTGCTCCTCTTACCACATCCCCAGCTGTGTGCAAACCCCCACAGCTCTCCAGAAATCCACTGGGAGGGGCATGGAAGGGTTCTGATTATGGTTCAGAGCTTTTCCCAGTATAATTTGAGCTACTCACAGTCCTGAGCCACTATGTAGGCCCCCTTTGGGGGGTCACAAGAGCCAAATGGCCGAGAACTGGCTGTGGACTTGGTGAGACAGGCTCACAATCTGATCTGGTGGTCATCCGTGTTCTACCACGCCCTTTGCCAGGACACCGACCTTCACGAGACTGCACTCCCACACACTGGTGGGCAGCATTCGCGAGGGGCCGCTAATCTCGCCGCATTCTCTGCTCAGCTGGCCCTAGGATGGAGCCTGGCCGGCCAGAGGCACCCTCACCTGTCATCCTGCCACCCCCTCTGCCCGCAGCCCACACTGACTCAGCTGTGTTAATCCTCACAGCCGGTCCTCTCCCTGAGTCTCTGCAGTTCCATGGCCTTGTTGCCTAAGCTGTTCTAACCCAAGGCCAGTCTCCTTCTTCAGCCTCCTGGTCCCGAGCTTGGCCAGAGGCAAACGCTGGTTCCATGAATCCCTGGCGCCTTCTCCCCCTGTATCCCCTAGTCGGATCTCGGGGGTCACTTTGCAGAATGTGGGAGACAAAGAGCAGGTCTAAGGAGGCTGGAGACTCCTGCCCCTGGGTGACAGAGGACTGCACCAGCCTGGTCCCTGCAGGACCCAGATGGAAGGTTCTTTCTACAAAAGGTGTGGGGCTGCCCATCAAGGCTGAGTGAGTACATGCCCTAGTGTGGCCTGTTCTCTTTGAGGGTCCTTGGCTGGACTCAGGGTGCAGCGCCTGTGGGTGGGACTGCTTTGCCAATGTCACCTGGCTGCTGCTGCGGGTATATCCGACTGTCGGGTGCTGGGGCTTAGGGGCTGCACCCAGAGGTTCTGACCATTCCAGGTCTTTTCCTAAAGGACAGTGTCAGCTACCCCACTCAGCTCCACCCCATGCCACCAGCATGTCAAATCCTTGTGATTCCACAAGTACCGTCAGTTTCCTTCATTTCAGTGTTGTGAGAGCTGTGAAGTCAGAGACTGTCCCCAGCTCCATTGGCACAGGAAGAATTCAGCAAGGAATTTTGTTTCTGGAATTTTCCATGGCTGTTGGACAGCTGACCTGGGGAGTAGAGTTACTACAGTACCACAGAAACATAATGTACAGCCTTAGTGGGGGCTGTTCTCCTCCCTACCACCCTCACAGGGGTTGGGCCCTCATAGTAACCCTGTCCCTGGGGACATGTGTGGGCTGATGAGCCCTGGCCCTGCACCAAATGGGTGGGTGAACACCTGAGTGGCCAGAACAGGAATAGACAGGGCCTTTGAGAATAGAGAGAGCTCCCTGAGAACGTGAGTACCACTGTTAGCATCCCCCTGTGGAAAGAGGACTTCAGATGCCCTGGACAGGTGGAAAAGCAGTCTTCAGGACATTTTGTATGGCTAAGCGTCCAAGTGGCCACCATCCGGGGGATCTAGCATCAAGAACGCGTTCTCTGTCCTCCTGGAGGCTAAGGAGCAACACCAGGTCCCCTCTGACAGCTCCAGGGAGGGCCCCTCCTGCCTCTCCAGCCTCTGTCACTTGTCACATGATGCCTTCCTCCTTCATGTGTGACTGCCAGTGTAAGGTCCCTTTTCTTATAAGGACATACATACATGGTCATTGGATTAGGGCCACCCCACTCCAGTGTGACCTCATCTGAAGCAACACTTCCCAAAAGACCCCATTTCCCAATGAAAATGAGGTTCTGATATGACATGATTTTCTAGGAAATGTTACTTAATACAGTGTGTGGGTTTCTTTCTTTATTTATTAAGACAGGATCTCCTTATACAGTCCATAACAATGTCAACCTTAGAATACTCCTGCCCTCCCCTCCCAAGTGTTGGGATTGTGGGTCACCATGCCCACGGCAGTATGTATTTTAAGAAAACCAAATTCTCAGTGCGATGCACCCAGAGCCCTGGATATGTACCCAGCCCTGGGTTCCAGCCCTTGAGGTCCACTCAGAGCCACACTGGGTGAGCCAGGGCCTCCCTAGCACTGCTTCCCCTGGAAGCCTGGAACCTCAGAGATGCACGCCCAGGCACGTGGCACCGGCACACCAAGGCACACGGCACCGATCCAAGGCAGGCCTTAAAGATAAAACAGGATCATGAGCTGCAGATATCCATGGTCTTGTGTAGCAGAGCCATGTGTGGCCCAGAACTCCACACCTGGGACAAACCACTGCCACTGCTCTGCAGCAAGACCAGCCATGGGACGGGATGAGCCATGAAGAGAACGGTGGGAATGCCAGACTTGGGTCTCTGTCTTTAGTTGCACAAAAGAGTTCTAATTGGTCTTAAAAATAAAATATCAGAATCAGATATAGGGGCAAATGCTGAAGGATCAGAGAATCAAAGGAGCAAGCCACAGCCACACCTTGCCTTTCGAACTTTCCAGCCGGGGGAAAAAAACCGAAAAAGCCAAAAACCAAAAAAGGGAGCGCCTACCTCCTCCCACATTGTATCCTTCTCTCCGCCCAATCATATCTCTTCCCATCTGTCTCTCTAGACCTCCAGACCTCTATGGTTAGCTAGTGGCTACCTCCACCCTCTGACCTTCAGGCAAGCTTTATTTGTTAGAGCACAGACAAGATATCAGCACACTCTCTGCTCACTTTTTATCTTTCCAGTTGTTCTTTCAGATATGGGGTGAGTCTTTTCCCTGATCAGTGGGGTGGCCTATAGCTTCACTAGTATCATCGGTGCTGACCCTACAAATGCTGGGAAAAGAGAACCCACAACACACACCACACCACACACACACACACACACACACACACACACACACACACACACACACACACGCACGTACGCACCTTTGCCCCACCTCAGTGTGGGAGAGGCTGTGGAGCATAGGTGCACTCCACCTCATAGGTCTGCTGTTTTTAGGACACAACCAGGATACTCAAGAGACATGGAAATGACCCAAAGAGCTCACCACTGGTTCTGACAAAGAACCATTGCTATTCTGACTGAGGAAGCAGTAGGGGTGACCCTGTGTGAGCATCAGTCACAGTCACTCACACACCAGGGTGTACAGGCAACCATTTCCTCACCATCTCAGGCTCGGTGTAAAAGCTGCACTGTGGCTAATCATACGGCAGGGAGAAAGAGAGCCGCAGAGGATGCTGCTGTCATCCTAGGAACTCAGCGCTGAGTGAGAAGGGCTAGTGACAGGAGGCTTTGTGCCTCATGCTGCAAGCTGTAGGCAACTAGCCGCCTCACTCAAACCCCACCTCTCAGAGCGGAGCTGGCACCA